GTGTGTGTGTGTGTGTGTGTGTCGGGGGGGTATCAATAGGGCTGTGGACTCACCAGTACTGCAAAAACGGAGACCACGGGCTTGTGATCGCTCACAGTGTACTCCATATGGCTGCAATAGCAGAGCTGGGTCACAGTCAAGTTCCCACCGCTGGATCTCCCAGAATGCACTGGGTGGCCACCGCTTTTGATTTTCCATAGGATACGGTCTGTCCAAGCCGGCTTCCGCTTCTTGGCGCTGCGGGGCACAACAGACGGGCAGGAAGTGAGGCCTTAAGTGGGGGCTGGGATAAACAGGCTTTGTGTGTGTCTACTGTAAATCATGATTATGATTGATCGCACAGCCAGCCAGATGTTGTGTCTGGAGCCGGCATCTTTATCCAGCTGTTGAGATCTTCCCAAGGACCTGGGATAGGCAGATGTTCTTTGATGGTGTTAAAAGATAGTGTTGAAGGATGCCAGCTGTTCCAAGTCAAGCTGCCTTTTGCAATTGACAGATGGGGATTTTGTCAATTCCAATTGGGGATTGGGGAATCACGTGACCCCGGGACACAGCAACCGTCACAGCAAATGCCTCACTTAACGACAGAAATTTTGGATTCCATTGTGGTCGTAAGTCGAGGACTACCTCTAAATCAATGCCTCTGCACAGTCCAGGAGTAGATCCTACTAATTCCCAACCCCTCCCCCCAATAGTCCTCCATACCTGGTGTCATACATGTTAGTTCCCACGTCAAATTTAAAGGTCGGGGGGAAGTTGAGGAATCCTTCTTGGAAGCCCTTCAGAATGGGCCACGTGGTTTTTGCAATGTTAAGCTGCAGAAGGAGAGAAGCAAGCTGGAATTAAGGAGAAACTTCCTAACAGAACAATTAACCAGTGGAACTCCTTGCCTCCAGAAGCTGTGGGTGCTCCATCACTGGAGGCTTTTAAGAAGAGACTGGACAGCCGCTTGCCTGGGATGGTCTAGGGCAGGGGTAGGCAACCTTGGCTCTTTTATGACTCGTGGACTTCAACTCCCAGAATTCCTGAGCCAGCCACAAGTCATAAAAGAGCCAAGGTTGCCTACTCCTGGTCTAGGGTCTCCTGCTTGAGCAGGGGGCTGGACTAGACCACCTCCAAGGTCCCTTCCAGCCCTATTCTAGTTGATTGACCTCAACAGGAGAATGTGTCCATCATATAGGCTGCTGCTTCCTGTTCCTCTCCCCCAACCCGCACCCCTGCACACACACACCAGGCACCCATGTGTATTTCTCACCTGGTCCTTCTCCCAGAGCTGATGGAGGATGCTGTTGTCAATGGCGTACTTCACGTAGCGGATGTCCAGGCTCTCAATGCGGAAGTTGAGATCCCCAAACCAGAAGACGAGGCTGGAGGGGAGACACGGGGAAGGAGAAGGCACTCGTGGGGAACTTTTCACAGTCGGATAAAAATCCCATCCGATCATTGATCAGAAGTCACCCAAAATGGACCTTCCGAACTGACACGGCTTCTCCCCAAAGAGGGTGGAGCCAGCCAAGGCACCCACCCTTTCCCCCTGCCCTCCTGGGCTCCTTTCCCCGGGCCGGAAGGACGCAGTAGGTGCTGCTACTCACTCGTGGTCGAGAATGCCGTTGGCCGAGGGCCCCTCGAACTGCTGCAGGTGGAGGATGGTGGTAAAGTCCTCCTTACGCTGCTCCGCCTTCTCCATGTGTGCCGGCAGGTGGCAGTTCAAGAAGCAAACCATGTGCCCGAAGATGGCCAACCGGACACTCACCCCTCCCTTGTTGCCCTGCAAGGGGAGGAAGGCAGAGGATCAATGGGCCATCGGAGTTGCGGGAGGCAGCACCAGGGGCCACGGTGCTCCCACGTGGGAAGAGCTATCTTGGAAAAGCAACATTTGCCAAGCTCAGTCATCGTCATTGTTGTGTCCCGTGCCTGCAGAAGCAGGCGCGGGAAGTTGCAAGAGTCCCAGGCATTTGCAAAAGCTGCCCGGGACCAGACTGACCGGCGCCGGTCTTGCGCGCATGCGCAAGGCGGGAAAAGACTACCTTGTGACTGGGGGAATTGCCCGGGGATCGGAGAGTATAAATAGAGGCTTGCGCGCCTCTGGGGTTTGTCGTTGTTCGTAGAATGGAGCAAACAATAAAGACTTGTTGGAGATGCTTCGTCTCAAGCGCCATTATTCCCAGGACTTAACAGTCATCCTTTCCACTTAGAGCAGTGCCCTCAGGGGGGCATCACCAACATTTGCCCCCCTGAGGCCAATGGAATCGGGGGCTTGGCTGAACAGGGGGAGAGGCAGGACCTTGGAGGGGGCAGCTGTTGTCCTTGGAGAGTGCTGAGCTGAGCCCTTAGCAGCGTGCTAAGCACCAGGACAAGAAACAACAGAGGGAAACAAATCAACCTGGAACTAAGGAGAAACTTCCTGACAGGGAGGACCATTAACCGGTGGAACAGCTTGCCACCAGAAGTGGTGGGTGCTCCATCACTGGGGGCTTTTAAGGAGAGACCGGACAGCCACCTGTCTGGAATGGTCTAGGGTCTCCTGCTTGAGCAGGGGGCTGGACTAGAAGACCTCCAAGGCCCCTTCCAGCTTTATTCCAATCGCTTAATTGCTCCTGCTAGCTTGGTCCCAAATATAAATCATGCCTTGGTGTCAACTCACTCACCCAGTAACCGCCCAGCCCTGTCCGGGTGCAGTCTGTCTGGATGTTCTGTAGGAAAGGCAGGTGGTAATATTTTGAAAAGACAAACAGGATAACTCCTTGCATCCGTACCGTGCTCACCTGAAACAGCAAAAGGCAGTGAGAGGCACTGAGTTCTAATTCTGAACATCCACATTGCAAATAACCCTAAGACTGGAAGGCTCCTTGGGGAAACGCCTGCCGGATCCCAATCGACCCAGGCTGATCAGAAGAAGGAGCCGCTTCCATTAGTGAAGGCTCTTTGCTCAAAGCAAAAGCATCTCTTGGAAAAACCACACAGCTCTGGAGAAGTAGCAGCTGGCATACGCCGTGATAACACTTCCCTGCCAAACTATTTATATTTCTAATTAAAGCAACCAAAAAAAAAAAAAAAAGGCAGAAGGTTTTTTTTCCCCCCCTTAGATGCATTTTACAAATTGAAGCTTCAACAGTCAGAATTTTAAGGGTTGCAGGGAAATTAATTCAGTTTGATTTTAATTAGAGCCTTTCCAGTTCACACTTCACTTGGTGTGAATGCTACCAATGTGCAAAATCTGTCCTTTTCTGGACTTCGGATCGGGGTTCACGAATAAAAAAAGGGAAACCAGAAATATTTCAGGACAACTGCTTGCAAAAATACATGTTTATAGGAGAATAAACTGCACAACATGGGGACATCAGAATTCCCAGAATTCCCCAGTCCGCACGGTTGAAGTCTACACGTTGTAAAGTGGATGTGTTTGTGTGTGTCAAGGTTGAGAAACTCTGCTTCAAAGACTGTCTAGAAGAGCAGGTGACTTCTGCTTTGGCCGCTTGAGTTGAATCAATCTATCTTTCTGAGCTTCATTCATTTCATGACCGGAGAGGAATCGGCTTATCTGGCCGGCTTTCAGAGTCATGTGGCCGGGTTAGGAAGTGTGGGAGGATGGTTTACAAGGCAGATTACGTGCCTTAAGCCTTGCACTCCCTTTGGCCTGAAAACTGCTCAAAGCAGAGGCAGTTTGAGGGGGATTGGGGGGGGGAATTACTTCCTGAAATTCTCCCCAAATGCTAAAATAACCCAGATTTTGGCCCTATCTATCCCAAGGGTGCTTGGTTTTGTTAGTCGCTCTGCAAATTCCTTTCGGATTTTCCTCAAAGGGGTCCCCAACTCCCAGGTTGCAGCCCACTACCGGGCCTTGAGCCATTCGGAACCAGCCCGTGGAAGTGGAGGGCCAGTGTGTGCACGTGTGTTCCCACTTGTGCGAGCAGCAGGCACAAACGGTGGGCACGCTTGCACAAATGGAGCTACACACGCTTGCCCACTGCCCGTGCGGAACCATCCCCCCCCCCGGCCGTCCACAAAGCTGCAAAGGTTGGGCTTACCAGGACGAAGTTAAAGGGGCTCAACACCTCCATGAAAAGCTCACTCCACTGGTCGGTGAAGAGCGCGTCCTTCAGGCGTTTGTTGAGCATGGAATTCACCTCCTGCAACCTGCAAAACAGTGCAAAATCACCAGCTTTCCCTCGAAGTTTCCAGCTGATCAGCAGCCCGGCTGTTCCCTGGGAACCGGCAAAAATGGGGCGTCTTTCCGCCTTGAGACACGCCAGCCTGTTCTGCGGTGGGAACTCCGGCGTTGCCCCCTCCTCATCCGCCTGTCCCCGTCCTCCTGTGGGATGCTGAACTGGGCTCCCAAACCACCAAAAACCTGGCCACTTTGAAATGCGGGAACACAACTGAAAACGTCGTATCCGAAGCAGAATATCCAGATTCAGCAACAATTTTGTTCCACGCAGCATCAACCTTGTGAACTCTCAAGCTTCCTCTTTCCGCTATGTGTCCAAAATGGACAATAATGAATATTTATATATGTTTATATGTAAGGATGTAGCTTTATACATACATTTCCCTGAAGATAAGACCAGGTCTTATATTATATTTTTGCTCCAAAAGACGCATTAGGGCTTATTTTCCTGTTAGGGCTTATATTCGGGGAAATACGGGACTAAATGCTGGCTGACGATCTTAACGGGGCTTTTTTTATATTACTGCTAGGGCTTATTTTCCAGCTGGGTCTTATTTTCCCAGAAACACGGTATGCATGTATATAGCATGTCCGTACGTGTGATATGTATGTGTACACTTTTGAGAGCAGGCAACAGAATTGCCTTTTTAATGTGTGCCAGCGTGCCCACGGTGAAAAAATGACAATAAAGGTGATCTAGAAAAAGGAGCCACAGATGTTCCAGGAAGTGCGTCTCCCCTTCGCCTTACCCGATGGCAATCATGTCGCTGTCACTGGAGTCCCCTGAGTCCAGGTGCAAGAGNCCAACACCTTGAAGCGCACCCGGAAGGCCACCGGCAGCCAGTGCAGCTCACGCAAAAGCGGTGTTATATGGGAGCGACGAGTCCCTCCCAACACCGCCCGCGCGGCCGCATTCTGGACTAGCTGGAGCCTCCGGATGCTCCTCAAGGGGAGCCCCATGTAGAGAGCATTACAGTAGTCCAGGCGGGAGGTGACGAGAGCCTGAGTGACTGTGCGCAAGGCGTCCCGGTCCAGAAAAGGCCGCAACTGGTATATCAGGCGAACCTGATAAAACGCCCCCCTGGTCACGGCCGACAAATGGTCTTCCAATGTCAGCCGTGAATCCAGGAGGACTCCCAGGTTGCGTGCCCTCTCTGAGGGGGCCAGGATTGACCTCAACAGGAGAATGTGTCCATCATACAGGCTGCTGCTTCCTGTTCCTCTCCCCCAACCCGCACCCCTGCACACACACACACTAAGCACCCATGTGTATTTCTCACCTGGTCCTTCTCCCAGAGCTGATGGAGGATGCTGTTGTCAATGGCGTACTTCACGTAGCGGATGTCCAGGCTCTCAATGCGGAAGTTGAGATCCCCAAACCAGAAGACGAGGCTGGAGGGGAAACACGGGGAAGGAGAAGGAAGTTGTGGGGGACTTTTCACAGACGGATAAAAATCCCATCCGATCATTGATCAGAAGCCACCCAAAATGGACCTTCCGAACTGACATGGCTTCTCCCAAAAGAGAATGGAACCAGCCAAGGCATCCACCCTTTCCCCCTGCCCTCCTGGGCTCCTTTCCCCGGGCCGGAAGGACGCAGTAGGTGCTGCTACTCACTCGTGGTCGAGAATGCCGTTGGCCGAGGGCCCCTCGAACTGCTGCAGGTGGAGGATGGTGGTAAAGTCCTCCTTACGCTGCTCCGCCTTCTCCATGTGTGCCGGCAGGTGGCAGTTCAAGAAGCAAACCATGTGCCCGAAGATGGCCAACCGGACACTCACCCCTCCCTTGTTGCCCTGCAAGGGGAGGAAGGCAGAGGATCAATGGGCCCGAGGGGGGCAGAGGAAATAGGCCATCGGAGCTGCGGGAGGCAGCACCAGGGGCCACGGCGCTCCCACGTGGGAAGAGCTATCTTGGAAAAGCAACATTTGCCAAGCTCAGTCACCGTCATCCTTTCCACTTAGAGCAGTGCCCTCAGGGGGGCATCACCAGCACTTGCCCCCCTGAGGCCAATGGAATCGGGGGCTTGGCTGAACAGGGGGAGAGGCAGTAACTTGGAGGGGGCAGCTGTTGTCCCTGGGGAGTGCTGAGCTGAGCCCTTAGCAGCGTGCTAAGCACCAGGACAAGAAACAACAGAGGAAAACAAATCAACCTCGAACTAAGGAGAAACTTCCTGACAGGGAGGACAATTAACCGGTGGAACGGCTTGCCACCAGAAGTTGTGGGTGCTCCATCACTGGGGGCTTTTAAGGAGAGACTGGACAGCAATCTGTCTGGAATGGTCTAGGGCAGGGGTAGGCAACCTTGGCTCTTTTATGACTTGTGGACTTCAACTCCCAGAATTCCTGAGCCAGCATAGCTGGCTCAGTAATTCTGGGTGTTGAAGTCCACGAGTCATAAAAGAGCCAAGGTTGCCTACCCCTGGTCTAGGGTCTCCTGCTTGAGCAGGGGGCTGAACTAGAAGACCTCCAAGGCCCCTTCCAGCTTTATTCCAATCGCTTAATTGCTCCTGCTCGATTTCTCCAGCTGGGTCCCAAATATAAATCACGCCTTGGTGCCAACTCACTCACCCAGTAACCGCCCAGCCCTGTCCGGGTGCAGTCTGTCTGGATGTTCTGTAGGAAAGGCAGGTGGTAATACTTTGCAAAGACAAACAGGATAACTCCTTGCATCCGTACCGTGCTCACCTGAAACAGCAAAAGGCAGTGAGAGGCACTGAGTTCTAATTCTGAACATCCACATTGCAAATAACCCTAAGACTGGAAGGCTCCTTGGGGAAACGCCTGCCGGATCCCAATCGACCCAGGCTGATCAGAAGAAGGAGCCGCTTCCATTAGTGAAAGCTCTTTGCTCAAAGCAAAAGCATCTCTTGGAAAAACCACACAGCTCTGGAGAAGTAGCAGCTGGCATACGCCGTGATAACACTTCCCTGCCAAACTATTTATATTTCTAATTAAAGCAACCAAAAAAAAAAAAAAAGGCAGAAGGGTTTTTTCCCCCCCCTTAGATGCATTTTACAAATTGAAGCTTCAACAGTCAGAATTTTAAGGGTTGCAGGGAAATTAATTCAGTTTGATTTTAATTAGAGCCTTTCCAGTTCACACTTCACTTGGTGTGAATGCTACCAATGTGCAAAATCTGTCCTTTTCTGGACTTCGGATCGGGGTTCACGAATAAAAAAAGGAAAACCAGAAATATTTCAGGACAACTGCTTGCAAAAATACATGTTTATAGGAGAATAAACTGCACAACATGGGGACATCAGAATTCCCAGAATTCCCCAGTCCACACAGTTGAAGTCCACACATTGTAAAGTGAGTGTGTTTGTGTGTGTCAAGGTTGAGAAACTCTGCTTCAAAGGCTGTCTAGAAGAGCAGGTGACTTCTGCTTTGGCCGCTTGAGTTGAATCAATCTATCCTTCTGAGCTTCATTCATTTCATGACCGGAGAGGAATCGGCTTATCTGGCCGGCTTTCAGAGTCATGTGGCCGGGTTAGGAAGTGTGGGAGGATGGTTTACAAGGCAGATTACGTGCCTTAAGCCTTGCACTCCCTTTGGCCTGAAAACTGCTCAAAGCAGAGGCAGTTTGAGGGGGATTGGGGGGGGGAATTACTTCCTGAAATTCTCCCCAAATGCTAAAATAACCCAGATTTTGGCCCTATCTATCTCAAGGGTGCCTGGTTTTGTTAGTCGCTCTGCAAATTCCTTTCGGATTTTCCTCAAAGGGGTCCCCAACTCCCAGGTTGCAGCCCACTACCGGGCCTTGAGCCATTCGGAACCGGCCCGTGGAAGTGGAGGGCCAGTGTGTGCATGTGTGTTCCCACTTGTGCGAGCAGCAGGCACAAACGGTGGGCACGCTTGCACAAACGGAGCTACACGCGCTTGCCCGCTGCCCGTGCGGAACCATCCCCTCCACCAGCCAGTCCACAAAGCCGCAAAGGTTGGGCTTACCAGGACGAAGTTAAAGGGGCTCAACACCTCCATGAAAAGCTCACTCCACTGGTCGGTGAAGAGCGCGTCCTTCAGGCGTTTGTTGAGCATGGAATTCACCTCCTGCAACCTGCAAAACAGTGCAAAATCACCAGCTTCCCCTCGAAGTTTCCACCTGATCAGCAGCCCGGCTGTTCCCTGGGAACCGGCGAAAATGGGGCGTCTTTCCGCCTTCAGACACGCCAGCCTGTTCTGCGGTGGGAACTCTGGCGTTGCCCCCTCCTCATCCGCCTGTCCCCGTCCTCCTGTGGGATGCTGAACTGGGCTCCCAAACCACCAAAAACCTGGCCACTTTGAAATGCGGGAACACAACTGAAAACGTCGTATCCGAAGCAGAATATCCAGATTCAGCAACAATTTTGTTCCACGCAGCATCAAACTTGTGAACTCTCAAGCTTCCTCTTTCCGCTATGTGTCCAAAATGGACAATAATGAATATTTATATATGTTTATATGTAAGGATGTAGCTTTATACATACATTTCCCTGAAGATAAGACCAGGTCTTATATTATATTTTTGCTCCAAAAGACGCATTAGGGCTTATTTTCCTGTAAGGGCTTATATTCGGGGAAATACGGTACTAAATGCTGGCTGACGATCTTAACCAGGGCTTATTTTATATTACGAAAAATCCTGCTAGGGCTTATTTTCCCGCTGGGTCTTATTTTCCCGGAAACACGGTATGCATGTATATAGCATGTCCGTACGTGTGTTATGTATGTGTACACTTTTGAGAGCAGGCAACAGAATTGCCTTTTTAATGTGTGCCAGCGTGCCCACGGTGAAAAAATGACAATAAAGGTGATCTAGAAAAAGGAGCCACAGATGTTCCAGGAAGTGCGTCTCCCCTTCGCCTTACCCGATGGCAATCATGTCGCTGTCACTGGAGTCCCCTGAGTCCAGGTGCAAGAGGGAGGCCACGTCGCTGGGGGGCATGGAGCTGCCGACGTTCCACGTCACCACCGTGATGCTGGGGAGACAGGAAAAGCCAACCACGTTACCCCGACATTTGCTAGGCCTGAGCTGATCCCTCTCCCGGAGGAAGGGGCCCCTTCCAGAGCTGTTGGGAGACCTCTACCGCAGCCTCGCCCTTCAATTGCACTGCCCCATCATTCCCAGCCAATCTGGATCGAGGCATTCCAAGGCTGTAAGATCCCTTGGGAAGTTGGAAACACAATCCGGAAGAGGTCAGCAACAAATGACTTCTGTGCAATTAAAATTGTGGGATGGGACAACTCCCCCTCTGACACCGAAAGAAATAGTGGAATAGAATCACGAAAGAAAGGATGAAGGACGAAATGAAACATGAATGACAAAAATTAAACTTGTTTTTTTAATTACTTTAAATAATCAAATAGTCCTGCAGCTAGCTCGCCGGTGGCAAGTTGGCCATGGAAAGTTGTTCTGCAGTGAGTTGACTGTGAATGTTGTTGTCCCATTCCGCAATTTTAATTATACAGAAGTCATTTGTTGTTTTGACTTCTTCCGGATTGTGTTTCCAACGTCCCAAGGGATCTTAGAGCCCTGGAATGTCTCCATCATCTCCTATCCAGATGCTTCATCACGTGTAACACCCTTGCCTAAACTGTGGTTGGCTAATCTGTGGTCCAGTGTGCTGGGAGGACCCCATCCTCCCCTCCCCAAATTCTACATCATAAACCTCTGGAGATGTGTTTCTCTTTCATGGCTAAAGAAACAAACTTGACAGCAGTAAAAATATCTCCGGGGAAAATAGCTTGGGGAGAACTCCATATCCTTGACTGCATTAATGGGGTTTAGAAATGAGGATGTCAGGAGCTCTATAAATGGAAGCGGGGCAGTTGATGGGGGGGCGTGGATTCTAGGCAATGTCGCTTGACTTCCAGCAACTACCCACGTTTGCATCTTGAACAGCAAGTCAAGAGGCCTGCAAGCAAGAAGGAAGAAGCGAGCTTGACTGGGTCTGCCTCCACACACACCCCCCCAAAGCCTTACGTGGGGGATGTGGGGCCGGTTGGAGTTATGCAAGAATCCCTAGCCCTGGGGGCTGCCAACCCCTCCTGGGACCAACCATCAGGAGACTCTGCAGCAGGCATGGACCAGCAGTTGAGGATGGGGCAGAGGGAGTCGAAGTTCTCCAGAACTTAAGGCACATCCTGACACATAAAAAGAACCACTGGCCACCTTAATCTGGGAAGAAAAACAGAATCCAAACTCCAGGCTTTTCTTAGGGTTAATTAAAATGACACTTGTGTAGACGCCCGAATTCTCCGGCAAAGGGTCCCCCCCAAAATTCCAGGATGGTTTTGGCTTATGATGCTTCATCATTTCTGCTCTCTGCCAGAATAAGTCAGCTGCAGGCATCAGCTCTGGTAAGAAACAGTCTGGGGATTATGGTTTCTCGGCTTTCCAAGCTACAGGGACCAACTGTTTCTTTTGCCCTTGGATGATAATAGTGACCTGACACTATTGAAGTTGAAGTCCAGGTTAAAGCATCTCCCAAAGGGGACAGGTGGGACCCTTCCTCAAACAGGCTCAGTGAGCAAAGGCTTGCCCTGGTTGCCCTTCAGATGGGCTGGATCTCTGTCAGCATTTATTTCCATCTTCTGACGTAACCTCTTCAATTTCTTGTCCTTTTTTTCCCTCGAATCTTTTCCATTTTAGCCTCATTTTGCGAGTCTGATGGATTGAACGTGACATTACCCTCACCCTTACACTCACATTTGTAAACATTTCTCTGAGCACGTGTGCCTGGTGTAGCATGGCCTGAGATGCCCCATTTTTTTTTCACGTGTCAGTTTGCATTTTGATCCGTCCTGCTCTCCCGTAAGCTTCTCCAGCCCCAGCTGAAGAACTGCAGGGCAAAATGCGCAGAAGGCCAACTACGGAAAGCAAAGAATTTTTAGTTTGTGTGTCTCGCTGTAAAAATGAGAATTGAACCTGGACTTCAACTCCCAGAATGCATGCAGGCTGTGTAATTCTGGGAGTCAAAGTCCACCCAGGTTTATTTTACTTCATTTGTTGATTAAATTTATGTTAAATTTATGTGCCGCCTATGGCTTATAGATTGATAATAGCAATAGCACTCAGACTTATATACCGCTTCGCAGTGCTTTACAGCCCTCTCTAAGCGGTTTACAGAGTCAGCAACCTGCCCTCAACAATCTGGGTCCTCATTTTACCGGCCTCAGAAGGACGGAAGGCTGAGTCAACCTTGAGCCGGTCAGGATCAAACTCCTAGCAGTGAGCAATGAGTTAACCTGCAGTACGGCATTCTAACCACTGCACCACCACGGCTCTAAAGATAAAAAGCTAAATATAAAAACAGTTAAAATTAATGAAACGTAGAGACTAAAACCAAGGGTGCAGACGGCATGGAGGGAGGGTGTGTGTGTGTGTGTGTGTATGTGTGTCTTTTGTACCCCAGCAATCACCTCCAGCAAAGAGCGTCCCCATCGGGGCCCTAAGCCAGCCATCAGAACCAGGTTTTAAATTCCTTCTGGAACGCCACGAAGATCCATCCTCGGTCTTAAGGATTGCTCTAAAGCTACGTCTCTGTGAATGAGAGAAGGGGGGGCCTTTTGTGCATACAGCTTCATAAAAACATCATCGCCAGGCGCACAGCTGGCCTGCCCCCTCCCCAGCCATGGCTGAGGCTAGTCTTGATTCGCTGATTGCATTCGGGGGGGGGGGATGGACACCCTCTCCATCAGTAAAATCCCCGGGACATTGTAAAAACTGAAAGGAAACAAAAAAACACAAGCAAACCCCTATTTTCCTATTTCTATTTTTCTCTAACAGAGCACTGGAGAAATAGCACACTATTCATTGATAAGGGGGAAAAAAGGCAGATTCGTGTTTCCTGTGCCTGCCTTTTACCAAAATCACCCTTTGGGGGCTCTGAAATACAACGCAGGGATGAGTAAATCTGGGTTACCATGGAGACCACCGTCCCCCCTCCTTACCTATTTAATCCGACAATGTGGTTTACTTGCAGCAAGTGTTTACGAGGGTGTTTACGTGTTCGCACAATAGGCTTAACCAGGTCGGTGAAATAAAAGAACTGCCTTTTTCACATCATCTGTTTCATTCCTTCTCGCCTGGATTCACTGCCTGTGGCTTAATGTATTTTGGTCAACTCAGACCGCGACGCAACGTATAGTACACAGACCGGTGGTTCATATTTGTGACGGTTGTAGCGTCATCAGGGGTCACGTGATCCCCTCCTGCGACCTCCTGATAAACAGTCAATGAGGAAGCCAGATTGCCTTAACAACCGGGTTACTAATTTATCAACTGCAGCGATTCACTTAACAAATGTGGCAAGGAGGGTCGTAAAATGGGGCAAAACACACCAAACAAATGTCTCACTTAATAGAAATGTTGGGCCCGTCGTCGTAAGTCGAGGACTACCTGTATCGTGCAAAGACAGGGGTGCCTTTCAAACCAGCTGCTTCGGGGTGGGGGGAAGGACTAAGTAGCTTTCCCAGACTCTGACTATCAAGCACAATCAACTACAAGTCTCATGATCCCCAGCTGGAGTGTCCACTGGGAAGAAAAGATAACTGGTTAAACCCGGAATTTCTTTCTGATGTCTAGGGAGATCCTCCATCATCCAGGTCATGGCTGTCCCAAAGGGGCTTTTCCTCTGCACGTAACCAGAGGAACTCTCTCCCGGGAAAGACGAGACAGGTCTTGCCCAGAGGTCTTGAGGAGCGTATGCCGGGGGATGCAAACAAGCCAGGTCACAACCTTCGGGTCCTGCAAGGAACACCCCACACCCTTGCAAAGCCCACGAAAAGCTCTCCTGCCCATCTACAACTTTGGCTCCGTTGAGTAACCAGAGCCCCACTTGAGAGCAGGTTCCTAGACCTCATGGGGGTCAGCTGGAGCGGTGACGCCTCCGGCCCATCCGTTCATGACAGATGCCACTCACCTTTCCAAGGCAATCTGCTCCACATTGCAAAAGGAAGTCTGAAGCATGCCAAGCAGCCGTCAGGTAAACATTCTCTCTCCGGAGTTATGGAAATACTCTTGTCCTGCCTTTCCCGTCTGAAGCAACTCTGGGTGGCACGGAATCGGCAGCCTGAATCATGCTGGCTGCGTCCCCCGTCAGGCCAGCTGCACCAGAAACGCATTCATTCACCTTTAGCTTTAACCTTGGCTACCTGGAGGGAGGGGGGAAGAGGCGAGGCACGCCCTGCAAGCACAGCCCGTTCTCTTGCGACTTGCACCAACGCAGAAACCGACTTAACTCAGTCACCCAAGGACGCTGGCTGAGGGAAGGCAGCCACTGCTTCTCAAAGGGCTGCTGAGCAGGTAAACCTGCTTCTAAGAGGTAAGTTCTGAAGACCTCTTCAGGAAGCACGACCCTCGGGGTCCACAACAATTCGCCAAGGTCAACTCGCCCCGGCCAACTCACTGCGGCCAACGCATCACGGCGGGACAATTTGCCGCGGGACAAGAGTTACGCTAATATCAAAGAAAAGGTGGGACAGAAATCGTGAAAGAAAGGATGCGAAAAGAGGGACGGACTAAAATATGATTGACGAAAATTCAAATATTTTTAAATTTAGTTTGAATAATTAAATCGGATCGTTCAATTGTCTCGTGGCTGTGGCAAGGAAGCACAACCTCTTAGCTTTATTCCATTTCTACTCCAGGTTTCCACCCGGGAGGAGGGCAGCCTCTCTCCTTTTCATCCTCGCAACTTGCTTGTGAAGGAGACTGGCCCAAAGTCCACAGGAGCACCCTAATTGGACCTGGGGCCTTGTATCTGCCTGGATTCAGCTCACCACTAACCACTCCAAAAGACTTACCTTTGTGAGCCTGGAAGAGTTCTTAGCAAGTTGCCTTAAAGGGGGTAGAGCCAACGGTGCAGTCAAAGTTGCCTCCAGCCCCCTCCCAATTCCTATCCCCTAATTTAGCTGTCGGAAGAAACCACGAGAACTGGACTGAAACAAAACCGAAGTCAAGAGCCTGAAGTCCACACGCCTTCAAACTGCCCCGGTTGGGGAGCATTGGCACCCATGCCTTCCCCCAAGTTGCTTCAGGCTCTTCCGCCTGCTTTTGCGTTACAACTTTACTCCATCTCCCCACCGCACGCCCACTTGCCCGCCCACCCACCTCCGCTGCGTCTCACCGGAACTCCTTGTCCTGCCTTGTTTGTGGCCGGCCAAATCTTTCCAGAAAGTTCTCTGCGCGGTTGGTATTGCTGCTCCGCGGGTCTTGCAGTTGGGGTGACAGACGGACCCTGGAGTAGGAGGTCAGTTCCTCTGACTCGGCTTTGGAGAGCATGGCGGATTTGGAAGGCCCCATCCTGCCCCCTGACAGATACTCGCTGGAGATGGCTTTGGAGAGAGACCCCAGCCGGTGGGACGAGGCCGGCCGGCTCAGGCAGATGTGGTCACTGGATTCGGCCTTGGGGAGGGAGTCCTTCAGTTCCACAGTGGCCAGGATGCCCGAAGACAGAGGATCCAAGGCGCAGAGGTCAGGAAGAGCCCCCCTGCTTGGGGACTGGCTAAGTTTCATGGAGGGAGACAGGCTGGACAGGGAGGAGGAGCTGCCAGATCCAGGGGACAAGGGGCGCAGCTCTACCGGAGACCGCAAAGTTGGGGTGCTGTACCCTGAGCCTTCAGGCTGGACTCTGCCGATCTCCAAGGAGAGAGGCGGGATTGGCCGGCCGCCAGCCTGTTCTTGGGGTTCACTTTCTGCTCTTCGGCGAGACCCGTCTGGCTGCAGCCGCGCGTGGAAGGGTTCGCCCAGAGAGTCGGGCCTTGTCCCGCTTGGCATCTGCCCTCCGATGTACGATGACCCGCTCGATCCCTCCGGCTGGTAGCGGATGGTTCCCTCCGGGACAAAGGGGACGGCGGCTGGAGAGAAAGCCCCCGGAGACGGCAGCGCCACAATGCTCCCTCGAGGGGGGATGGGGTGCGAGGGTAGCGGGGAGGGTGGTCCTGGGTGCCCCAGATCCATCTAAAAGAAAAGATAAAATAAGGTAAGATGATACGATGGTTCACTGCTTTGGGCACAGAATGTCCTGCAAAGGTAGCAATTATCTCTTGTTCCTCCAATTTCAGCTTGACGGGTGATTCCCAACCCATCTGCGGGTCTGGAGTTCCAGGAGAAAATACGGATTCCTTCTGAAAAAGGGCCTTGAGCGGTTTCCCCTGGCTGAGGTTCCATCTTGCACAAAGCCTTAGTCTGATTTCCCGTGCTGTGGTCAACAAGCCACCCTTGGCTAGGTTCACACAACACGCTAAGCCACGTCTGAATGATAAAAGCCAGATATTTCTGACCCGGCTACTAGGCTGCCCTATGGCTCGCACCCTGTTCTAACAATTCACTTGGGTTATGCGGCTTCTGGGAGGAGAATGCTCTGAGGCCAAAAGCTTACGGGGCTCCATTGCTGGCTGGCCCTGGGCGATACCGGGACCCATGCGATCTGGGCCACCTCCAGGTCTTCGTCCGAGGAGTCCCTCGCCATGGTGCCATCTCCTGGCCCCTGCAGGAGGCTGCCCCTCTTGCCTGCCAACAGCCGTGGAACTTTGGCACCACCGGGGATTCTCTGCCCATCTCTCCAAGGGGCTGCAGCCCCCACAGGCCTGGCGGGAGCGAGAGGCTGAGCTGGGAAGGGCCGCGGGGGACCGCCCATCCCAGGTGCGGACCCTCATGCCAGGGGGGTCTGCGACCACTCACCACAGCCAATTCACCACTGGTCAACTCATCCAGCCAACCTGCCACGGGACAAGAGTCACACTAATACCAAAGAAACAGTGGAAGAGAATCATGAAACAAAGGGCGCCAAAGGAGGGACAAAACTGAAATGTGAATAACAAAGATCAAATGATGTTTAAATTGTTTTAAATAATTAAACTGAATTGTTGCATTGTCCCACGGCGAGTTGGCCGTGACGAGTTGGCAGTGGTGAGTTGTGCCATCCCGATGCCAGGAGCCCTTTGAAAGGCCAGACTCAGACTGCCCGAGGTCAAACTCCCTGGACACGGAACCATGGCTCCGGGGGAGCAGAGAGACCATGGCTTGCCTTGCTTCTTCCTGGGACGATTTGCTACTTCCCTGGTTAGTCCTTAACCAGGTTCCAGCCTAGCTAGCTTTGCAGCATCATCCCAAGGTTGGCCAGCTGCTGCCACAAGCTGTGGATGGGCAGCCAGGACAAAAACTAACAAGAGTTCCTCATATTTACATTTCCAACCGAATTTGTCAACGTAATTTCTCTTTAGAAACATATTTAGGCAGTTGCTCTTTTCTGCCCACAAAGACTACAATAGCCATCTTTGCAGGTCAAAGGGGGGGGCGGGGGAGTGTCACCGCACACCCAAGGTTCCTGGTTGTGCCCTTTCGCTTCACAAATTTAAACTGAGTTTCAAATTTAAACTGAGTGTCCAACTGATGTTAGCTTACTTCATTCAACTCTACTTAAATCATCTGGAGCAGGAGAATTCGTGAAATTATTGTATGATAAATCGAAGCGGGGTTTGCACGCTCTCTTTTGTAGAACTTGACCTGGATTCAAATATCACTTGTTTGGTGTGATGTGCCAACCCCGTTGCAAGCGGCTTTAGCAACAAAACCGTGCTTAAAAAAAAACTTGTGGTTTAGCACAATGGGTGGATCCAGCCTGCAGCTGAGTTTATTAGGGCATCATTTGAATTTTGAGCCTGTCTGACACCACAGGGACTCTGAGTGGATTCTAATGAACAAACTTAGAAAGAAAACCTCCATCAAAAGCAGAAAATACTGGTGACCAAGACACAATTCAAACTGAAGTGGCACGGCCACCATCCTAATCCACGGGCCTGGGAGAACCATCAGAGGAGTCACTGAAGGGGGTCCAACTGGCAAGTCAAACACAAGGAGTTCCCCAAAACCAGCATTATGTGGTAATTGACTGCGTTCACACAAGAAATTCAACCCGTGAATCAGTTTGGTGGTGTCCTTGAAGCACCCCATTCGGTGGCCCTGTCAGAAGTTGGGAAAATTTCCTTTCTTTGGGCCAGGAGCCAAGCGTGGGGCTGAACAGTCCGGGGATCAAGTAACTTTTAATGCATAATAGATGCCAAGAGCAGAGTGAAATTATATCCCCTTTTCTCAGGTGTGTAAGTGATCTCCGGAAAGCAGATGATCCTGTCCACTGTTCACTCAGGTATCGATCCGTTCCCCCCCCCCCGTTCGCCCTGGCCAGGATGCTTCTCGGCTGCAATTCCATGCTCCCAACAGTCAGGGAGGGCATCCTGGGGGCACCTGGAAGCTGAGCAGGAATGTCCACCACGACCTCCCCAATCTCAGGCCAGTCCCTGGACTTTGGGCCACCAAGTTTCCTTCCAGGACTCGGAATGAAATCCAGGACGGACAAATGCACACCTGCACTCAAACCCCCTCGGGCTCTTAAGTCACTAAATGAGGGCACAAGGGCTCCATGCCAGCCGTGGCCACTGATGCCCAATTCTCTTCTCCCGTCAGCCCCCCAAGAGGCAAGCTGCCAGGCCCCCTTTTTTCTGAGCATCTCCAGCTGATTCTCCCTCCGCAGTCCTCCCCCCAGAGCCCCCTCCTTAACCCCTTGGAGCACAAGTTCTCTCCAGGACCCTTCTTCTTCTTCTTCTTCTAACGGACGGTCCCCTGCCTCAGTTTCCCCTTCTCCCGGAGAGGACCCAAGAGCGAAGGGCGAGAGCCGAGTCTCCTGCAGCCCTGCCGGTGCCCTTCATCTCTCCTCTCCACCCCCTGGAAGGTGCTGAGCGAAGCAGAAGCTCCCCTTCCTGGGAACCTGGGTGGAAGGGCACCTCGGCAGGCAGATGGGGGGGGGGAAGGGGGGGCAATAAAGAGAATGGGCAGCCTGGGTGGCATTCAGGAGCCTGGGGAGGGAAACTGCCCCTTCCCTCTTTTAGTTCTCTCCCTGGTTCTTTGAACCTCCACAGAGACCCCTCAGCCCGGGGTCCCCCCCCGGGGTCCCCCCCCCATCAGAGGACAACAGCAATTGCAAAGGGAAACGAAAGGCGAAGAAGAGCAGAACAGAAAACGGTGTGTTTGTGTGTGCGTGATGGATTGATTGATTTCCCGAGGACTGTGCCGAATCCCCCCCTCCCCACGACAGCCCCGTCTGAGTCCACGCGGGGCGAAAAGGAAGCCCGCCCGGGGTCTTCTGTCCCGGGAAAGGGGCTCCATCCCGGCCCCCGCGCATCTCTTCGGGGACTCCCACGGGGGGTGGGGGTGGTGGCGGCGGTGGTGGTAGGAGAAGGGAGGAGAGAAATCCGGGCAAGCCTCGGACACGCGCGCTCGCTCGCTCGCGCGCCGCTCCAGCCGGCCGCCTACACGTGCGCCCGGGACCCGCGCGCTTTCTCACGTGCACGGCGACCCGGCCTCGGCAGACCCGGCGGCGGGTTCCGGCCGGCTGCGCCGCGCGCGGCTCTCCCATCCCTGCCCTCCACGCGCCTCCCGGCCACCTGCCGCCCGGCCCGGACTCACCTTGCGCCAGCCCGCCGGCTCCCCCGCTCGGCCCCTGGGCAGCGCCTGCCGGCTCCTCCCGGCGCTCCGGCGCGGCGGCGGCTCCATCCCGGCGCTCCGGCTGCCGCTCCGCCGCCCTGGCCGCCGCCGAGCCTCCTTCGCCCGGGCGCTGGTGGCGTCACCCTCCGGGGGGACGTAAAGGCACCGCAGCCCCGCTCGGCCTCCCCGCCGCTGCCGCCGCCGCCGCCGCCGGCTCGGGAAGGAGGAGGAGGAGGAGGAGGAGAGCCGGCTGACGTGAGCGCCGCCCGCAGCCGCCGGCTTCCGGGAAGGCTCCCCGCTGCCTGCCCTCCGGGCCAAGCAAGTTTCTAGTCCTCAGGACACGACTGCGGTCCGGGATGCGTCGCAGAGACCGTGGCTGAGCGCAGCGGAGGTGGCCTTCCTCGGCTGGCCCGCACAACGACCTCCCTCCTCCCCAGTCTCTGACAAACGCGCAGGTCGTGATGCGAAACACCGGAGGGGAGGAGAGAGATCAAATGGATGGATGGAAAGAGAGGAAGGAGAGGAGAGAAGAGAAGAGAAGAGAGGAGAGGAGAGGAGAGGAAGAAAGATCAAATGGATGGATGGAAAGAGAGGAGAGGAGAGGAGAGGAAAGAGGAGAAGGGGAAGGGAAGGGAAAGGAAGGGAAGGGAAGGGAAGAGAGGAGAGGAGAGGAAAGTTGACATCCACGGCTTCTGCTTCTGGTGCTGCCGGCCATCGGCTTCCACAGGTGAACCCGGAGCGGCTGCAGAGAGAGGCGGCTTCAGTGAGCTGGTGAATTCACTGACCTGGGGTTGTTTAATCTCTAAAGCTTTAAGTTTGATGCTCTAAAAGTTTGCAGCCAGGGTCCCCTCCTCCCCATCCTGCCAGCTCCCTTGGGGGGCTTCCTTCCCATCCCTGGAATCAGCTGCCCTTCTTCCTTCCCTGTTTCCCTGCAGGGCCACCAAGAGCTTTTGGTGGTAATGAGGGGGGTCCCTTTCCCAGTTACGACCTTTCCAGCATCCCCAGGATCACTTAACAACCGAGGCAAGAAAAGTCATAAAATGGGGCAAAACCCACTACACAAATGTCTCCCTTAACAACAGAAAGCTTTGGGCTTCTGTTTGTGGTGGTAAGTCAAGGACTGCCTGTATTCTGCTTCAAAAGAGTGACAGGAGAATTCCCAGAAGACAAAGAACCCCTGCCTCCAGGTAAAACACCCAAAGTCAAGCTTGAAGGGCTTTTCCTTGGGATGAAAAGTAAGGAAGCGGAAAGCTTATGCCACTTATATTTGCTATAAAATATCTTGTTTCAAGCTAATGCAGCACCCCAGCTCCAGGAAGTATAGTGTCATTCTTCTTTTCTTTATTTTATTTCATTTTTCCTTGCTAGAACAGGTGCACAACCCGGGATTTGGGATAAAATCCAACAAGTTTCATCAGCGCCCAGCACTTTGCAAAAAACAAAACAAATCAAAACACACACACACACACACACAAGCCACCTCTTCCGAGGAATGACAAGTCTGACATCCATTTGGAAGCTCTGCCCCCTGGTGGTTGATCATCACATTACAACCAGGTGGCAGAAACGTGGTTAAATTCAGGTGAATGGATCTTAAAATAAAAATTGTTGCATGAACGACAGGCAGAGAGTGATTCTTGGCAGAATATGACGCCAGTCTCCTGCAGGTTAAAACAAAGAAACTGGCACAGCAAGCTATGTTTATATATAGCCTGGCTAGAGAGAAGTTCCCTGAAGACGCGCTCCAGCACAAGTCCAAAAGCTGGGAAGTCAAAACTTTTGGTCTCAGTGACCAACCCAGATTGGATCCTGAAACATTATCCTGGGACACGTATGTTCACCTTCATTCATAAGGAACATGCAGCTTGCTATTGTCAGGCGCTGTATGAGTGCGAGATTCTTTTTTTAAAAAAAATTGTATCAAAGGGAGACTTTCCAAAATGTGGCAGAGTCTCCTTTACTGCCTTGGCAAATGCAATACATTAAAAAAAAAATCAGACTGAGAGCAAATTAATTTCCAGCATTCAGTTGTTTCGTGCTGCCAAATTTCAAGAGGAAACATAGACACTGCACCGGGTCTTTTTAAAAAAAAAAAAAAAATATTGACTGTTAATACGAACAGGTAATTTATCTGATTAGAAATCTAAAGAGGGTAGAATAAGCAATTGAATCAAGAGATCTTTTGTCTTCTATGCAGAGTGGAGGAAGCATCTAAATCTGGATTTACAGGTTTAGCATACCGTTGGACCAAAAATGAATTTCTGAAAGCAGCACAGCGAGTGCAGCCCTCTGCTAAGCAGGATCAGCCTTGGTTAGTATTTGGATGGGAAGCCAGTAGGAAATCCCAGAGCTTAAGCTGGATTGAGGAATCCCTCCAAAATCCCAGGAGCTGACAGAGACAAACCACTTCAGTGGAAAAATCCTGGAGGTCCCCAGGAATCTAGCTTGGCTCAGTGGAGTCTTTAATTCAGATTAACAGAATAACAGAGTTGGAAGGGACCTTGGAGATCTTCTAGTCCAACCCCCTGCTCAAGCAGCTTCTACTATGTAGAAAAGTAGTTGAAAGAGATTGATGGAGCACCCACAACTCCGTTCCACCAATTAATTGTTCTCACTATCAGGAAGTTTCTCCTTAGTTCTAGGTTGCTTCTTTCTTTGATAAGCTTTCATCCGTCACTTCTTGTCCTGCTTTCAGGTGCTTTTGAGAATAGGTTGACCCCTCTTCTTTGTGGCAGCCTGTCCACCATCCCCCTTATATATTGTTGTTGTTGTTCATTGCGAAGTCGTGTCCGACCCATCGCGACCCCATGGACAACGTTCCTCCAGGTCTTCCTGTCCTCTATCATCTTCTGGAGTCCATTTAAGTTCACGCTTATATATTAGGAAATTGCTATTATGTCACCGCTAGTCCTTCTTTTCATTAAACTAGACATACTCAACTCCAGCAACCGTTCTTCATATGTTTTGGCCTCCAGTCCCCTGATCATCTTTGTTGTCCTTCTCTGCACTCTTTCTAGAGTCTCAGCATCTTTTTTGTATCACAGCAACCAAAACTGGATGCAGTTATTCCAAGTGTGGCCTTACTGAGGCATTATAAAGTGGTATTAACGCTTCACGTGATCTCGCTTCTATCCCTCTGTTAATGCAGCTTAGGATTGTGTTGGCTTTTTTGGCAGCTGCCACACACGGCTGGCTCCTATTTCAGGGATTGTCCATACCTGTGCATTTCTACAGGTTCCATACCTGTGCATTTCTACAGATTTCAACCTATGCCAGTCGCTTCTAGGCCTACCTGTGCCTGCAAAGTACTCCCCAGCACTTCATTTGAGCCCAGCACAGATAAGCTGTCTATTTGCAGAGAGAAAAGCTTTAACAATGGTGGCCTTTCAGACATGCAACCCCACTTCCAGGAGAAGCTGGTCCCTGGACTTAAAGGGGTTGCATCCACCCCTTTAAGGAGTTTTGTTTTGTGTCACAAGGCTTGCCAAGGATTGCGTCTTTTCCTTTTATTCCCAGCACAGGTGCCCGTTTGCCCCGCGCAGGGGTGAATCACGGCTCAGAAGCCGGCGGACGCTCTGGAGACGCTCGGCCAGCCCACGACTATATTTTCTCTGATTCACCAACTCCCCACCTGCTTACCAGTTTCTAACACTTGCCGTGACTCACGCAGCCTTTCTGCCAAGCCAGGAGTCCTGATGTGGCTATTATTAACTGCGATATTCTTAGAAGTTTCGCTCCCTGTCTCATGCGGGGGAATCGGGGCAGAGAAAGGCGATGCCCGAGGGGGGTCTCTTCAATTTTTGGCAATCTGCCCCCAGGAGCAACAGGGATACAGGAAGCAGATTTTTTTTGTCCCCCGCAGCAAAACAGGCCCTTCCCTATTTTTGCAGAGGAAATTACACGGATGTGTCAGTGAAGTTCCTCGGTGACGGAACTCAAAGATTTTCACCTTACTTGATTTAAAAACAAAACAAAATTGAAAAGTATGATGTTGAGGGTGAAGGTTCGTTCACCGAGTTTGTGGGTTGGTTTCCGAACATTTAATTACCATGCTAGGTAACATCTTCAGCGGAGATTAGGGGGTATCAGTGTCGGTGTTCTGTTTATGTATGATGTTATGTAGGAAGCAGAGAATGGGGAAATTTTTCCGGGATCAAAACTATTTTTCTTTCTCTTTCTTTCTTTCTTTCTTTCTTTCTTTCTTTCTTTCTTTCTTTCTTTCTTTCTTTCTTTCTTTCTTTCTTTCTTTCCTTCGACTCCTTCCATCTCAGATTCAGGGAGCCTCCTGGGGTCACATCCCTGACTTCTCCGGAGCAGCTGCTCCACTTTGGAAATCAATATTATTCAGGAGGAAGCGCCAAGGGAAAACATTTCCTGGGACTGGGCAGAGCCAGCGAGTTCTTTGAGTTGTTTGTTCTCCCGAAGCGGGAAGCATGACAGGTGGATGGCCAGCTCCGAGTGAGGGTGTGTGTGTGTGTGTACAGGTGTGTGTCTTCCTGGTGCAGCTCCCAAAGGGTCACCACCTCCAATATACACTGCATAAACATCACACTAAATAAATAAAACAATAAAAAATAACTAAAACTATGCATATACCCACATACACACACACACACAGATGAACAAGAGTGAAGCTTCTCAAAGTTTTTTGGGGGGGGCATTCCCCCATCGGACCGCCTTCAGAGGACCCACTGTGGCTGGGGAGGGGGGGTCTCTGGCCCACTCCCACCCCCTTTGACAGCTACCCGCTCCCTCCGGAGCCCGGCGCCGTGCCCTGGCCGGGAGCGAGGGGGGTGGCAGTCCGGGGACCCCCGGGACGGGGCGGAGGCGCGGCAGGGGGGCCAGGACCCGCCTCGGACCCACCCCGGGCGGGGAGTCCGCCTCGGAGCTCCGCCTGGCTTGACGTGGCAGCGGCTCCGTAAAAGCCCAGCGCGCCCGCCTCGCCTCGCTTCGGCTCAGCATCTGGATGGAGACGCCGCTGCTTTGGCTGCCGCTGCTGCTGGGGCTGCTCTCGGCCGTGGCGCCGCTGCGCGCCGTGCAGCTGGACCGGAGCCGCCTGCAGTGGCTGGCCCGCGGGAAGGTGGAGGTGAGCGGCCGGCCGGGGCGGGGGTCCCAGATCGGGGAGGGGTCCGCGCTTTTCCAGCAGGGTCTCTGCCCAGGTTGCTGCGCCTGAGCGCACGGCCGGGCTTGGCTTCCCCTAGGGGTCCTCGTCTTACGGCCACAATGGAGCCCGGGATTTATCTTGCTAAGTGAGACCCCGGCGGAGGGAGTCTGGGGCCCCGTTTTACGACTTGTCTGGCCCCGAGTGAACCGCTGCAGCTGTGAGTCAGGCAGTTGTGAAGTGGAACCTGGCTTCCCCCCTTAACTTGCTTTGTCGGAAGGTCGCAAAAGGGGATGATCGCCTGACACCCCTCCTCCCCCGCCCAGACGCTGCGACCGTCATAAATGTGAGTCAGTTGTCAAGCTGGTCCGAACGCAAAGCAGCTGACCGTGGGGATGCTGCAAGGGACACAAGGGTGAACAAGGGGTCCTAAGTCACTTTCTCAGTAACTTTGTAACTTTGAATGGTCACTAAACGAACCGGTGTGAGTTGAGGACTGGCTGCACAATGCCAGGAGAAGCCAATGGCAAAGGGCCCAGCCCGGCCGGTGCCCAACCAGACCCTTCCCCAACCTAGTGCCCCCCTCCAGACGCGCTGGGCTTTGACGCCAGTCACCCCAAACCCCAGTGAGGGCAATTATGGGAGAGGGGTGCCCGGTTGGAGAAGGCTGGAGACGAAAGGCTGCCAGGGAGGGCATCCGGACGGACCCCATTTCTTTCTAACTTCACCCGTTTTCAGTCCTGAAGTAATCAAACAGACCAGGTTCAGGCATTAGGCGAAACAAAGTTAACATTAACCCACTTAGCAGGTTTGAACGGTGTTTCTAGGTTTTCGACTGGCCTTTTTAAGCCTGTTATGTGTGAACACAGCCTGGGTGATACAGGTAGCCCTTGACTTAACAAGGGTTCATTTAGTGTCCGTTCAAAATTACAATGGCCCTGAAAAAAAGTGACTTTAGGACCATTTTACACGCAGCTGTTGTAGCATCCCCACCGTCACGTGGTCAAAATTCAGACGCTTGGCAGCCGTCTCACATTTATGATGGTCGCAGCGTCCCGGGTTCATGCGATCCCCTTTTGCAACCTTCGGACGAGCAAAGTTAATGGAGAAGCCAGATTGACTTAACAACTGCAGCGATTCACTTAGCAGCCGAGGCAAGGCAGGTCGTAAAATGGGGCAAAACTCACTTCGCTTAACAACAGAAATTTGGGGGGCTCCGTTGTGGATGTAAGTCAAGGGCTGCCTGCATTGCGGTGCAGCCGCCAGTCCCCTTTCCGCCCTAGAAACACCCAGGCTGACGTGGCCCATTTCACAGATGGGGCTGTTGTGACGGAAATGGGCGGAGGGAACCTTTGCCCCAACTGTTGGGGGAAAACCCCTCTGCCCACTCACCCACCCCCACCCCCAGCTCCAGAGGAAGCAGATTTGGCAAAGGGAGCCTCTCTGTTTAGGGGCAGGCTATCTCTGAGTCAGGCTGGGCTGCTTTTCAGAGGCTGACAACGTTTCCTCTTGGCCTGAGCCAGGAAGCCTCAGCCAAACACAATAAATCAATTACGTGCAAATTGCATAATTTCCTCAAGGGGCTTCTGAAAATGGCCGCAATTACTTTGCTGTTGTTATTGAAGCAGTTGTTGATCTTGTCGCTCGGATTGCTTCGGTCTGGGTAACAATCGCAAAGTTTGCTGTGGGTTAAGGCAGTGGCCCCCAACATTTTGGGCACTAGGGACCGGTTCCGGGGAGAGAGGTCTTTCCACGGACCGGAGGCAGGGGGGGGCTGGTTTCGAATTCTGCCCACATCCCTCGGATGGGGCTTTTGCTTGTTTGCACGGCCTGGTTTTCCGGCATGCTGCGGACTGGTGTGGGTACACAGACCGGGGAGGGGGGATTGGGGACCCTTGGGTTAAGGTTTTCTCTTGCAGTCTGTATCCTGCAAAAGCTGGATTCTCACAACACGTGAAGCTGTGGTTTGCTAGGCAGGATGGAATAAAGCCCAGTTATCTTACTTTCCATGACATTCTAGCCCTAAAAGAACAAATCACATTTTAGTAGCCTTAGTGTATCATCCAAACCTGCCCAGATGGTAGAAAGTGTCCGTCCAAAGGGCTGGTTCCCTCCCATGAAATGGGGCAGACAGTGGGAAACCCACAGAGGCGGTGAAGGCACCAGATGGAGAGATCAACTCATTTCATCCGCCCAGCCATTCATGGATTTTTAGGCCCTCTGGCTACAACACTAAGTGCAGGTACCTCAATTGGGAACTTTAAAAGGAAACGTTTCTTCTTCTTCTGGTTGCTGTCTTCCCACTAATTCCATCTGTTAATAGGCTGGCTGTTAGTCATGATGGAAAATGGAGCCCGCAGCGTGGGGGAACAGGCTGTTTCAGGGGAAAAAAAGACAGAAAAAAGCAGGCCTTGGCAACCGTGAATTACAAAAGGGTGTAAATTGTGAGGGTGCAAAGACACCAGTGTGTTGGCCATGGGAACTGGGAATGAATTAGACGGGAGGTGTGTGGGTGTGTGTTGCTGGGGAGCGCGGTCTAGGCAACCTAATCCGCTTCGCTTCGGTGGGGGGCCCCCGTGTTCGCAGCACAAAAACTAATCCAACCAGTTGAACGGGGCTGTCCCTCTGGCGTCGCTTAGAAACACACTTTTGATGGTGCTCTCCTTTTCCCCCCCCAGAGCTGTGGAGGATGACGCTTGAACCGCCTGCCAGAGGTAAGCAACTCTTCGGATTTGCTCTCCTTTTCCCCTGGACCATCTGCTTCCCCACTGGAAAACCTCAGGGGGCGAGCCAGCTTTGTTCCGTACCAAGTTGGAAGGGGCCTTGGAGGTCTTCTAGTCCAGCCTCCTGCTCGTGCAGGAAACACCAGCCACCGTCCCGTCCATTAATGGCTGATTCTTCCTTTTTTTTTTTTTTTCTCCAGGTAAAGGCCTTTCTCAACGAAGACCTGCCTTTGTAGTATCCTTTGCTGAGTTTTTATCCAGGCTCACCTCCTCTGGGGTTCGTCCGCTACCTGGATGTGCTGCCCTTTATTTATTTAAAATAAATAAAAGATAAGTTTTGATTTTTGCCGTTCAAAATTTCCTCCTGTCCCTCCTTTGGCATTCTTTCTGCAATGATTCTATTCCACCGTTTCTTTGATATTGGCGTAACTCTTGTCCCACGGCGAGTTGCCCAGGTCTGCTGGGTGGGGGGGCTCCACCCAGACCCCTCCCCGAGTTAGTGCCGAGAGCAGCGCAGATGGAGGGAAGGACGGTGTCCTCTTCCAGCAGCAGATAACGGCTCCTTAACGCTCCCCCTTAGCCACAACATGGACTTGAAGTACCTGGCTGGAGCGGACCCTGAGCTGATCCTGCTCAACATTAAATTCGAAGAACTTCAGGTGAGAGGGAATTATTTTATAATGTNGCTTGCCAGTGCTTTCCCAAACTCAGCTTTGGTCTGGTGAGAATTGCCCTCTCACAAGATAAAACAAAGAAAAAGAGATTTTTAAAAAATAATCAATCGGAATAGAGCTGGAAGGGGCCTTGGAGGTCTTCTAGTCCAACCCCCTACTCAAGCAGGAGACCCTATGCCATTTCAGACAGGTAGCTGTCCATTCTTTTCTTAAAAATCTCCAATGATGAAGCACCCACAACTCCTGAAGGCAAGTCGTTCCACTAGTTAGTTGTTCTGTTAGGAAGTATCTCCTTAATTCCAGGTTGCTTCTCTCCTTGATTAGTTTCCCTCCGTTGTTTCTTGCAAGCTGTTGAACGGTTTGCAAAGTTGGAAAAGAAAATGAGTTTCAAGATTGGAGTGGGTTGGCCAAACAAACTCGTGCATCTTCTTGTGTAGCTACTTACAAAATTTATCTAGAGAGGAGAGTCCCTATTTTGTGAGACAAATGCTATGTTTTTCAGTTTTAATGTTATTGTTATAAGGGCACTGGTTAATTGTTCTCAGTGTCAGGAAATTCCTCCTTAGTTCCAGGTTGCTTCTTTCCTTGATTAGTTTCCATCCGTTGCTTCTTGTCCTGCCTTCCGGCGCTTTGGAGAACAGCTTGACTCCCTCTTCTTTGGGGCAGCCCCTCAGATATTGGGAGACTGCTATCATGTCTCCCCTAATCCTTCTTTTCGTTAAACTAGACAGACGCAATTCCTGCAAACGTTCTTTGTATGTTTTAGCCTCCACTAAAGTGCATCATAGCAAACGCAGCACTGTGCTGGGATAGGAGGAGGCATTCTGGTGGGCCAGTTCATCTTTTAAGACTGGGAGGCCATTTTGTGAAGATGCCCGCAAGAGAAACTTGAAATGCCAAGATGCTACAGCCTTAAAAGTATGCTGGGAATAGATAATAGGAGCATTGCCCTGTTATGCCAATCTGGATAAGATGCCGCTCATTTGAGCATTGTCTAGAGACAACCCAGCTGTCTCGCTGTGGCCAGAGGGTGCTAGTCCCTGTGATTTGCCTTTAATTTGCAGAGAATCCCATTGAGTGACATGAGCCGGGAAGAAATAAATCAGCTGATGCAAGAACTGGGATTCTACCGGAAAGACACGCCGGACTCCCCTGTTCCCGACGCTTTCCAAATGGCGCCTGCTAATTCCCTGCCGTCAGATGTGGAAGCAATGAAGAACAGACGTGCGAAAGAGAAAAAGGGGGCGGGGAGTCCAGACCTATAGAATTCAACGTGCTCTGCTTGTGAAGGGTGCCTGCTGGAAAGAATGGGAAGTCTCAGGGCATTGGCAATATCTAAATAATCTGCAGCTATATAGATAAGATCTCCTGTGGTTCGCACACGGCTGAATTGTGCTGCCGGAGAAATTAACCTTTAGAGAAGATTCAAAGGCTGCAAACTTTTGCTTAAGGGGAAGAACTTGCTGCCCTCAGAAGGAAAATGTGCAAAACAAAGACAGCCACATTATATGCAACCCCCGGGCCGGTTACAAACAGCCCCTGACTTACGACCACAATCGAAACTGGAAAAAACGTCGTTAAGCATGTGCAGTTGTCAAGCAAGACACCCACATGGCTGTGATTGTGACTTTCCCCGCCTGCTTCGCCATTTGCTTTGGGCTTGTCGGAAGCCGGTTGGTAAAGGTTGCAAATGGCGATTGTGTGACTTGCAGCATTCACCGACTGTGGTGAAGGGCAAGCCAACGCCCAACAATCACAACAGCCCTTGTCAAATGGTCGTTAAGTCAAGGGCTGCCTGTAACTCGGACGAAATTGACTGGAAGAAGCCTCAAGGGATTCCGCCCTTCACCCCAAGACGGGCATCCTTGCACAAGGCATCACACAAGGGTCCACTCCCGTGACCAGCACTTTCCCTCCAGGTGTGCCTCACCTGTGCAGGACAGGATGAAGCCCTCTGCAGAAAGCTTTTGCTGCTGAGGGTGGATAGACACGTCCTCTCGGGCTGGGAGCGCAGCCTGCCGGGGAGCAGGTCGCCGAACCCCCAACTGGTTTAGGATAGTAACAATAAAGTTGCCTTCGTCAACCAGCAGAGATGCGCCTCTCGTTTTGTGCAGACTTTCCACTGCTAACACTTCCTTGCCAAATGTTACCGCTTGATCACAAGCGCACCTTTGGACTTCCCGTTTTTTTTCTCCCACAAAAATCAAGGCGGCTGGCTAGATGCTAGACCTGCCAGGGGGGGTGCCAATCTTAAAACCGAAGTCTTGAACGAATGGTTTGGTTGGTATGGCATAGCCGGCGGCCGAGGGATTTATAGAGCAAGTGTGAGGTTTTGTATTCTTGTTTTAAATTCCTAGCTTTTTAAAATGAAAAGCCTTGCCGTTTGGAAAGAGAAAAAAAAGCTAATGAGCCATCCACGGTTGTTAGATAAAAAGAAGTTCAAATCCTGCTAAAAGTTAATTCACCTAACGGATGTTATTGGGGGGGGTAGCATTTTAGGGTGTCCGCGTGGCGAAGGCAGGGACCGAGGCAGGGACCACAATCCAAACGTTTTATTGTCTTGCTGGTGCTGATACAATCTTGTGGGTGGTGCAAGGATTACAATCCCGGAGGGAGGCCAGCCGTGCACTACGGTCCTGCTTGCACCTCACGCAGCCCCAAGGACTGGCCTGCCCCACGTAGGAGTCCCTCAAGGAAGCGGGCAAGGCAGCTCGTGGTGGATACCAGAGGAACAGCATTCCTGGTGGGAACCCGCAGGAATAAAACTCCCCATCTGAGTTCTCCTTGGTCATGGGAGGCAGGCAGATGCCACCACTCAGCAGCCCACTGGCAAGAGGCTGATGGAGCCAAGTGGCATGGAAAGAGCCCCTCGGAGCTGGCACAGCGCCCCCCTCCCCTTCACATGGCAGGGCTGGGTTTCGAAAAAAAGCACTCCTCCTTTTAGCGTTTTCTTTGTGAACCAAGGAAAGTCCACGATTCCACGATCGCGGCACACAAGCGCAAAAGGCTGCCTCCCTGAAGACCGAGGCAAGCTAATTTGGGATGGGTGGGGTCAGGAGCACAGCCTCCCCCCTCCTTTGCTTCCCACGCCCCACTCCTTCACAGCCAGAGGCGAGCTTTCTCTGTGTCAAAAGGCGTGCAAAAAGTGAAACACACGGCTATCGATGAGAAGTTTGGGCTTTGCTGGTGGACGGAAAAGGCCACTGTCTCCACAAGGGGGTTCTACACTGGTGGACCCCGACTTGGCTTTTCCTTCAGTGGGGGAGAGGGATCTCTAGGGATGAGGGGGAGAGGAGAAAAGCTGCTGCCGTCAAAAAACAAACAAACCCCAACACAATAACTTACAAGCAACAATCAAAACAACCTTGGTATAAAAGCATGTGTGGTGCAGAGCGGCAGCCAAGACTCCCGGTCTCTTTTCTGGGCTGGGGGGGCGGCCTCGCCTGATCTCTGCAGGCAAGAGAGGAGGTGGGGAGCGTGGGGGAAGCTGCCCCCCCAGCCTACCCGCCCGGCCTTTTGGGGGTGGGGGTCCGTCGGAAGAGGAGGAGGCTACAGGTGTGACTGCCGTCGCTGAAGCTCGTGACGTCGCAGGTGGTTGTAGAGGGACTGGACGTAGGTGAAAACACATTTGGCATCCGGGCGTTTCCCCATGATCATCATATCCTCCACGTCCACCAGCGGGACGCAGTCCACCAGCCTCCTGCAAAAGCCAAGGGACACGGGTTCAATTCGCCGGAAGGAACAGCTCACCGTCCCCTTGTCCTAAGCCGGGACTGGGACAAGGATCTCCAGGATCCAGCTTGCCCTCAGCCCTGCCGATGGCGCTGGGCGAAGAAGCCATGCCCTTGCCAGGGTGTGTACATCCGAACTAGACTCCCCTCCCTAAATTAACCTTCCTCCCCCCAATTCTAATCCGCTGCCCATTCCCCATCACCGGCTCTTTTTAGACCGTTGAAGGCACTTCGTTTAGGAGGATTTCAACCGACGTGACAAAACTATTTGATGCAGCAAAGGTTTCACCTGCAGAGCAGGGCCCAGGCACTCTGACAAAGAGCTCACCATCCCTGCATCCTTCACTGGAGCAAAACACCACTTACAAAACAGTCAGACTTCTAGTCCTCAGTGAGGCTGGCTGACAAGTGAACTAACATCACAGTTTTAAAGCTGTCAGGCTCCTTATGATTAGCCTTCAGAGGGGGGGGGAACAGCCAAGGGCCAAAGGCAAAGCAAAGGACCAGTGGAATTAAATCCATAATCCCCAGCCAGAAGGTGAAAACTCCAGGATCTACAGTTCTGCTGCTCGGAGGGTGCCAGGTTGGTGCACGCCAAACAATTACAGGTAGTTCTCACTTAGCAGCGGCCTTGTTTAGGGACCATTTAAAGTTACCATGCTGCAAAATACCCCCGCCCCCCAAGCTCTGCAACCGGTCCTCACACTTATGACCGTAGCAGTCCCGTGATTGTCATTTGCACACATCACAGCCGGCTTCCGACAGTCAATGGGGGAGCCGGTGCAGAAATTGCACGTCATGGTCCCCTGGAGTCTCGCTTAACAACCTGCAGTGACTCACTTAATGACCTAGAAGAAGTAAGCCCATCATGGCCCTGTGGTTTTCCTTTTACTGACCATGTGTCGACAGTCCCAATAGTGGCCACTAAACGAGGGCTATTCATACTTTGTGCACGTGAAGCTCCACTCGTGAGTGGAGGTCACACGGGTGTGCTGCTTGCACAAATGGAGCCGCGCACGTGTGCCTGCCACTCACTCCCCTCCTATGGGCACCAGTCCGCCCAGCTGGAAAGGATGAGGACCCTGTTCTGAGACCCTGACGTGGTTTTTCCGCAATCGTCCAAGAAGGGAATCCCCGTGGCCTTCTTCCAAAGGGGCCTTTTCTACTTCCCACTCTAGCTGGCAGCCCTCACATCTCCTGGTGGTCTCCCATCCAAGGGCTGATCAGCCTGAAACCCCCACCCCCACTAGGGCCGAAGGGCCACTTCAGGCCCCAACTCAGCTACGCACAGGGCAGCTGAGGGGGGGAGGGCGAGAGGAGAGTTGATGGGCAGCCCCCCCACCCCACTCCCGGAGGCAGTGGAGAAAGGCCTGGGCCAGCTCCAAGCAAGCCAGGATGCCCTTATAAAGCCATTGTTTAGCTCGCTCAGTGTGTGCGGCTTCCAGCCTCCCAGGAGAGCCGAGGAGATGCTATTAACAAGACCGGCCTGAGTCATTTTTTCCAGCTCTTCCAAGACTTATAAGGTCTGGGCAAGGCACGGGAGGAGGAGAGACCCTCCATCACCTGTCTGGCTTCTGCCTTTGCCCCAGGCCCTGGAAGGTCAGGGCCTTTCATTGCCTGGGGAGGGTCTTTGAGGAAGCACACACACACCCCCCCCCGTTTCCAGGCTAAACCACCTTAAACTTTGGGAACTCCTGCATCTGTCGCAAACGCTCTCGCAACCTACCAGCTGAGGGCGCCCACGGAGTGGGGAGGTGCATCTCTCGCCTTGCATCCTTGGGGGAGCCCTGCAGCCCCAGCCCCTAAACACCCCTCCCCCCTCAAAAAAAAAGGACAATCAATCCCAGGAAAGAAGGAAAGGTTCTCACCGTAGCGCCGCAGAAAGGAAAGTTAAGACTTTTTCGTCTTGACCAACCCCTTCTGAACTAGGCAGCGATAGAACTCCTGGATGTACGTGTAAACGCACTTCCAATCCGGCTCCCTCATCCGGACCATGTCTTCCACGTCCAGCAACTGCGGGCATTCTGCCAGTGTCCTGGGGGTGGGTGGGGGGAGGAGGGATCGTGGTGGAGGGAAGGGCAGGGGGAGGGGGGAAGAGGAAGCCAGTGATCACAGCCCAGACAAATTTGGGGGGTGGGGGAAGAGAGAAGATAGAAAGAAATCGGAGGAAAAGAAAGAGAGAGAGAGAAAGAGAGAGAGAGAGAGAAAAAACACAAGATACGTAAATCCAGTTCACATTCTCCGTGACGAGACCCACATATGCATGCAACGGGGTGAGCGGGCACGGACCTCTCCGCCATGCCATGCAAAGGGAGTAGGAGATATCGGGGTGCCAACGGATACAGGGGGTGGGGTGGGGGGCTCATTCCTGAGTGAGATGCAGAGGATGCGGCAAAAATCCGGACTGAACGGCCGGGATAGACAGACAAAAAAAGACAGAGAGGTGGACAGGACAGGAAAGCGAGCGGGGTGCTCGTTGCGCTCCCTCTATATGGCGACGTATAGAGAAGGGATGAGCGACTCGCTCTGTGCGCCCCATCCTGCCACACACTCTTGGAAGTGGGCCTCAGCCCGTCTGGGGTGCGCGAAGCCAAGGAAAGTGAGAAAGAATTTGGGGGAGGGGGGAGGGAAACAAGGCAGAAGCTGCAGAGGAGTGTGGACTCAAACCCGGCACCCTCCTCCCGAGCGACCCAGAGCACCAGGTGACGGATCTGGTCCCCATCCGTTGGAACCGAGAAAACACTGAGCACCTGAAGTTGAGGGTCTTAAGGACTCGGTCGTACCGAGTCATACCTTTGGAGAGGGAAAGGGGAGTCGTACCGACTGAGTCCTTAAGACCCTCAACTTCAGGTGAAGTCATAAAAGAGCCAAGGTTGCCCACCCCTGTCCTAGACCCTCGGTGGAGGAGAAGGGTGGACAATGCCCCATTCTGCAGTCTGGAGGCAGAACAGCCGGTCCCCCTCGCCCGATTTCCCTAGACCCTGCTGGGTCGGAAGCTGTAGGTAGCAGGAGGGAAGATCTGGGGAGAGGGGAGTCGGGACCCCTAAACGCACTCACACAGGCCCATCCAAGGGCCTGGGGGGCAGCACAGATATTGGTCAAGGGCAGCCGAGCAGATCTGTTCCCCCCGTTCAGACCGGTTGAAGACCGGTGCCAGGTCCGTTCTGCCAGCCCCGCTTTTTTCACAAGACGGCTGGACCCACCGCTGCGTGAGGGAAGGATGACGAAGGCCTGGGGAGGCCCGAGCTGAAAGGGACGAAGCACTGGAAGGGACGGACAGAAAAACAGCAAAGGGAAAGGAAAAAAAAGAAGGAAGGAGGTTCCCCACCGTGCTTTTCTCTGCCGGAGCAAAATTCCC